CCATTAACTACGTATAACTTGACTACAAATTTTGTTTTTTAGTATCTTGTAAATACAAACACTGATGTGTTTTTCCATATTTTTTCTTGTAATTTTTTTTTTTAGTTTTAATACTTTTTAAATGCGTATACACGCTGTCTTACCAACCTCGGGAAGAGTTATTTAGGTAGGTTTTGGTCAATTTTTTACACATTAAAAGCATGATTTTTCATGGGTAAAACGGAGTTAGGATTATGGTATCAAGTGTTATCTGCCGCCCTTGGGAAAAAGGTTGACTGGAGCCTTAGGTAAACTTATGATGGGGAGAAATAGGTGAATTTATAAATGGTAAAGGCTATTATTATTTTTTCAATGGCAATGTTTATTTTTGAGCTTTTTCTATTTTGTAATGAACAGAACTTCTGACTGCTTAAGGTTTTCTGTTCTGAAAAAGTATAACTTGGAAGGGTTTGAAAATCTGCAAACTTTACTGCGAGGAGGGTTGTTTTTAAGATTTCCTGGGCATTAAAAAGAAAATTCTGCTTTTTTTTCCTTTTCTTTTGCTTTTCTCAGTCAAAGTGAAGATGGTCAAGGGAAGGTTTTGTTAGTTGCTTGTTTTGCTAGGCTCAATTTTATTTTCCTTTATTGAAGCCACTGGAATAGGAGGGTTCAGTGGGGGGGAAGAGTTTGTGTAGGACATCTGCACTGCTGCTCAACTGGATGAAGTCGGGGCTATTGACTGCTATACCGAAACAAATGTTGGTCGTTATAAATGGATTAATAGTGCAGCGGGAAGGAATTTCTTCCCCCTGTTTTCATCTTTGATCTGCTTTGTTGTTTGAGAAAAAAGTGTGTCTACCTAGCAAGAAATAATACTTTGTTATTTTTGTGCTTACCAGGCTGAAAACTAGGGAATAAAACTAGTAGAACTTGTTATTCCTTAAACATCCCCGCAAACAGTAAGTTGTTTTTTTGAATCGATGCATGCATTAAATGGTTTCAAAGGAAGGCATTTACAATAGCATAAGAAATTATTTGACCTTTTACAGCGACGCTGTCCGTAATTTTTTTTTCTCTATTTTTTCCTGATTTTGTTTTTAAAATTGTTTTATGATGCATTGAATCAGTTTGTTTCTTTTTTTCCGTAATTTTTTCGAAGTCCTTTTACACTGAGGAACCAGTACTGCTGGCTTGCGTCTGAGTTCTTATCTAGCATTAAAACTGTTATTATTCCATGTGATACTGTTGTTCAGGATCAGGTGTAGAGAAGGCAAGGAAGCTTGTTTAATGGAAGCACATTGATTGAGTATAATTATTTTTTCAACGGGGTTTTGTCGCTTTTCTTTTCTTCTACTATTTTTGGGCATTTATCGACTTATTTTACTGGTCGTTTGGGTACAAAGTCTCGCTTAAGTTTTTCGTTGGAAACAGATGTTGTGCTTGATACTATCATGGAGATCGAGCTTGGGAAGGAAGAACGCTTTGTGTGCGGTGATTTGATGATGGGTTTTTTGAATTCACATGAATTTTTGTCAGTTGTTTCTGTTTAATTGTCCTGTTACTGTCGATGTCTCTTTCTTTTTTAATGGTGGGCAACTTTTCGTCTTATTTTGGTTTCCAAAAGAGTTGAATTGAAATGTTAGCTTCAAATGCCTTTTAAGTTTAGGTTTTAACTCATAATATTCGAGTTTTTTTTTTTTTTTTTTTTT